GCCGCGCTCGTCAGCGACGCCCTGACGCGGCACCTCTTGACACTCGCCGAGACGCAGCGCCTGCGGGCCGCCGACTACTTGCGCCTGGTCGTGTCTGCGCAGTGTGCCGTGTGGCTCGGTGCCCAGGTGCCTGCGGGCGCGCCGCGCCGAGCGCGCGCGCCGCTGAGCACCGGCGCCGTCGCCGCCGATGCGGCACGCCTCATCGATACGGCGGCGCAGACGCTGCGCACGCTGCACCTCGTCGGCCTGCTCGCCGCGCTGTGGGCACTCGCACGGCACGAGCTCGGCACCGAGCGCCGCACGGGGCTCGCCCGGCTCCTGCCCGCGCTGCGCATCGCCAGCAAGTGGATGCGCGGGCAGGCCGCGACGCTTGATGCCTGCGTCGCCCAGAGCGCCGCGGCCCAGGCGCAGCTGCACGCGCTCGGTCTCGGTACGCTCGACACCGATGGGCGTGCGCGCATCGCAGCCGTGTATGCGAGTGTGCCTGCGCGTGTGCATGCGCTATGGGCGACATACGCCGACGCCGTCAACCTGCTTCCCACCGAGACGCACGGCGCCGTCCGGCACCTGCCCGAGGACGCGGACCTCGGTGCACTCGAGCCGCTGCGCGCCACGATGCAGCCGGTGCATGGCGTGCACGGCGTGTCGGAGGACGCGGCGCGGTGTGTGGACCTGCGTGCGGACGCCGAGGCACTGGCCGCGCACGGACGGCTGCAGACGCAGATGCGCGACGGCCATGTGGTTTATGTAGCCGCGGACGAGGTCGACGACCCCGTTGCGATGGCGATGCACGCAATGGACACGCACCGTGACCGTCCAGAGCCGGGTGTGCTCACGCCGGCCAGTACGGCGGTGGGTGCGCGGCACGACAGCGCCGGCACCGGTGCGCCGGTCGTGCCGGCGTCTACGCCGTGGTCGCCGTCGTGGCCATGGGGCGGGGCGGCACCTCCTGCGCCCGCTGCGCCTGCCGCTCCCCCCCTGCTGTTTGGCGGCGCACTGCCAGGCGCGGCACCCACGGCGCCCGCACCAGTCGGAGCGCCCGTGCCGTCGATTTGGAGTCATGTGCCTACGAGCAACGGCCTGCCACACTAGCTACCGGCGCACCACGATACTGTGTCAGTCCTTCTTCTGCACATACTTGGCCTGCTGCAGCTGCTGCGTGAGCGCGATGCGCGCGCGCAACGCGCTTGCCTGGCGGACCGCGGTGCCGAGCGCGTCGGAGCGGCTTGCCTCGTCTTCCGGCGACTCCACCTCCACTGTCTGTTGCTGCCAGTTGAGGCGCGCGCGGAGGTCGCCTGCGGTCACGAGCGCGACGAGCTGGGCGGCGATCTCGCTTGGCTCGCGCGCAAACGCCGTGCCGAGCGCGGAGAGCGTCGTGCGCCGGAACGCGGTGAGGTAGCGCGCCAGGAGACGTGCCTCGAGCGCTTCCAGCAGCGCCGGTGCCGCATCGCCCATCACGGGGTCGAGGCGCAGGGCGGGCGCATGCTGCGACAGGAGCTCGCGCGTCTTAGCGAAGTCGGATGCGAGATACGCGACGAGCACGTCGCGAGGCGCAGGCTCCGCGTCGGCGGCCGTGCGGAACGCGGCGCTTGCTGCGAGCGCTTCGGCGCGTGCACGCTGCGTGGTCGACGGCGCACTAAGTGCCGACAGCACCGCGTACCACGCAAGCTGTGACACGGGCACTACGTCGGCGTACGCGTTGACGTGCGTGGCGTCGAGATCGACGTCGGGCAGCGGTGCCCGTTTGTCGGCCTGCGCCCACAGTGCAAGCGTACGAAAGGCGCGCACGCGCGCGACAAAGTCGGCATGCGACGTGCTTGGGCCCTGCCACGCATCGCGTGCCGACTGGAAGCCGGTCGTTGGCGCGGCAGGCGCGCGCTCCGTCACGTTACCGCCCGTCTGATTACCTGTGTGGAAGAGCGCGCGGATGGCGTTGGTGCCCGTGTTGCCCTGCGCAAGTGCCGCACGCCACACCTCGGTTTGGCCGGGCAGCGCGACGTGGACGTTGGCGAGCGTCGCAAGCACGGCATCGGCCTTGTCGGCGTACGCAAGCACGGTTGCATACTGTTGTAGATCCCAGGCGACCTGCGTCGCACGCATGTACATCTCGAGCGCATGCTCGTTCGTAGTGCAATACTCGCGCATTTTTTCGTAGTGGACCAGCGCCTCGTCGAACTCGCCCGTGTGCCGGAAATGGTCGCCGAGGTCCTGGTGCGCCATGCGGATGCTCTCTTGGATCACGTTGTTCTGATACATGCGCAACTCGGCCATCAGCTTTTCGCGGTCCTGCACGACTTGTGCATGCGTCGCATCGATCCATGCGTCGTCGACCGGCGCGTCGGCCAGCGCCATCGCCGCGCGGTACACATCAATCGCCGCCGTCTGCTCTTGCAGGACATGCGCGGCCTGCAGCGCCGCCTCGTGCCGGGCGTCCGGCGCGTGCTGTGCCACGTACATCAGCCGATGCACCAGAGGCCAGCCTGCGTCAGTCTCGCCCACGTACCCCGCACCGCGGTGCCCTCGCCGAGCCCCGCCGCGTCGTTCCAGCGCATCGTCGGCCGAAGTGGAGGTGGGGGCGTGCCTTGGACGCCATGACGACGCTCGATGCGCGCCTCGCGGATGCGGCGCAGATCGTAGCGGTCAACGAGCGTGGCGATGCGTACGAGCGCATTCTCGATGAGGCAATGAGCCTACATGGCGATGAGCGGCGCGACGCCCTCACGGCATACGTCCACGCCGCCGTTCTCGATCGTACGAACCTCGTCGGTGCGGGGCTAATCGTCGCGCGCCGCAGCCTTGCGGCGCTGTGCACACGCATGCGCGAGGCACATACGCGCGCGCCGGATGGGAAGGATGATGCAGCCTACCTCTCGATACTCGAGCACATCCTCAGCTCCACGGGCGAGCAGACCGTTGCGCTCGACGACGAGCTCATCGACGTGCGCATCCTGGCCGCCGACCTCCTCGAAGCACAACACAGGTGGGCGGATGCTATGCGTATGTTGCAGGATAGTACGTCCGATGCTGGGCGCAGAAGCCGCTCGGATGCACACGCGTTTGAACTGAACGTGCGTCTCTTGCGGCTGTGCCTACAGTGCGATGCCCTGGCGGAGGCCGACTTGTATCATAAGCGTGCCAACGCGCTCGTTCACACGGTACAGCGCACTGAAGATCAGGAGGCACTTGCACCTATGCTTCTCGTCTTCCGCCCGAGCCAGGCGGAGCTGTACGACCGGCAGCTGCGCTTCACCGACGCGGCGCTCCGTTTCTACGAGCTGAGCACCGCACCGACGCTCGACGACGCACAGCAGACCGAAATGCTCAACAAGGCGGTTGCCGCGGCACTACTCGCGCCTATCAGTGCGCAGCGCAGCCGTCTTCTTGCCCAGCTGCAGCGCGACCCACGTACGCCGACGCTACCGCTCGGCGCAGCGCTGCAGCACGTCGCGGCACGGCGCCTCGTGCGTGCGCCGCTTGTGGCGCATATCGCCGCGCACCTTGCTCCGCACCAACTTGTGCGCGCGCCAGGCAGCGACCAAAATCTGCTCGACGCAGCGATGGTGGAACACAACATCGATGCCGCATCGTGCGTCTACAACACCATCACACTCGATAGCCTCGCGGCGCTCGTTGGCCTACCGGAGCCGGCATGCGAGGCGATTGTTGCTCAGATGATTCTGCAGCATCGCTTGCCATCTACGTGTTTTCTCGACCAGATGGCCCATGCAGTGCACTTTGGACCGCCCGACGAGCCTGGTGCGGAAGAGGCGCCTAGTGAGGCACCCACGGCGGAGGCGCCCGCGGCCGACGACGCGCCGATGACCGATGCGGACGCAGTACTGCGCCAGGGCCGCGACCGCCGGATCGGTGCGGCACTCGCCTACCTGTCCGACGCCCATGCCGCGCTGCAGACGGCCCAAGAGGGATATGCCCGGGTATAGCGACTAGTCCTCGTCGGAATCGTTCGGCACGAGCCCCTCTTGTTCCTCCTCGTTGGCGAGCGTTTCGCGCGCCTGCTGCTCCCGGGCAGCGCGATCGTACAGACTCCAGTCGACCTCCTTGACCGAGTCGTCGGCCTTCTCCTCCTCGACGGTGCCCTGCTTGGTAAAGAGCTCGCGCCCGGTAGGCTTTTGTTTGTAGCGCTTGTACTCTTCGCGCTCCTTGTTCGACATCGCCGCCATCTTTTCTGCCTCGGCCTTGTCACGCCGCGCCTGCTGCTCCTGCATAAAGCGCACGCGCCAGGCAAGGAAACGCTCGACGGTGACGGCCGTGCCGCGAAACTTTTCTTCCTCGGCCGCGATCTCGGCGTCGCGCTGCCGACTCGCACGCTCCTCAGCTGCCTTTGCCTCGTTCTGCAAATAGTTCGTGAGCGATTCGCGGAGGTGTGATGCGAGCGTAAAGACCATGGGCATCCCAAGCGAGTCTTGCGCCTGCCATTAGCTCTCAGCTGTCGTACGTACCACCTGATCGAGCTCGGCGCGCAGCTGCTGCACACCCGCACGTGTGTCGCTGATGAGCGGGCCCGCGGCGTCCGTACCCACGTCCGCATCCGTGGGCGCATCCGTGCCTTCCTCATTCGGCGCCGGGCCGAGGGTCTCGTTCGCATCCTCGACGACGCGCACCGCCATTTCCGGCACGGCGTCCGGGTAGTCGGGCGTATATCTCACTTCGAGGCTCAGCACCGGATCTGGTTAGGACTGGAAAAAACGCGCACACATACAAACTTTGCCCTCTTCATAGTCTTCGGGGACGATCCGGATGCGGAGCTGTTCTGGCGTGACCTCTACGGCATGAGCCACACACGCCCATACGCACTCTCCAATTCGTCAATATAGATGCTCTCGAGCACTTCGAGCTCCTCAGCGAGCACCTGTGCATGTTCCTCCGCAGACACCATCTCTGGCGACGTAGCCGTGGAGACGGAAGCGGTTGGTTGAGTCGAAAATAGGCAAGTCACTTGTGATTATAGACACACAAAACGCGGGGGACGGCGATACTTGGGTCTACTGGCGCAATGGTAGCGTATCAGCCTTCTACTTCCGTACGTGAAGAGGGGCGAGCTGAGGGTTGCGGGTTCGAGCCCCGCGTGGACCTTTTTTTTCCATCGCGGGTTTTCGCAACGGCGGTGGAGATCGCTGACCAAATTCACGCGGGCGTCTGTACTGTGGGCTATCCGATTCGCAGGGCTGCATGTCTTGGCCCCAGGGGCCGGCTGTCATCGGCTACTCGAATGGCCGTATTAACCCCGGAATTAGTGGAGTGTGCGCGATAATTTCGCTCATGGCCCAATCATCAGCGAGGTTTGTGTTCAGCTCCAAGATCTCACGTGCCATCGAATCTCGGCGCACGAGTTTGGGACGGTTCGAATTTTGGACGCGTCAGTATCGTTCTCCGGGAATTACCGTCCAGTTTGTGTGGCTTGAGTTTCGGAAGAAGCCTCGTCGGCGTACACGGTCTTTGCCCAAGAAAGGCTTGGTGCTTGTTGTTGGGGGTGACGCCTTTGGCCACTGGCCGAGGTGATTACGGAGATTTGGCACTAGCTTACTTGGATTGTGCATACAGCCGAGTAGCCCTGCTCGCTTGATCCCTTTCCATCCATACCGTGCATCTCTGCCTCAAGAAAGTGGTGAAGCTCTTTGGGAACGCACGCCTGCCGTCGTATGCCCAAGGCGAGTGTGACAAATTCTGTGTCTGATAGCAACCAAGGTGAGGCAGTACAATACACGCGTACTGCTTCTTCGAATGCCGTTCCAGGTAAGCACACCGCCCGTTTCCAACAATAAATCTAACACATGCAGATACCGACTTCACAACAACTGCCCAACCAGATGCAAATATGGCAGCGTGTGTCGCGCCCAGCGTGGCGCATCCCGTCGCTGGCGGAGAGCCTCTGAGAGCGCACGCCTCGACGGGTCCCAAGGCGGATTCGGTGCCAACCACAAGCTCATGTCACCAATCTTCCGCTGCTCTCGAGACATCTAGGTCTGATGCCGCGAGCAGTGCGACTTTGTATCATAATCAACCGCACGCCATGCTAAATCCTGCCGCGGAACTGTATACACCCCAAGCGCAGAGTGGGGACCCAGCTTCGATGATGCACTACTACTGTTACGGCTATATGGCACCAGATGGCTCGATGACATACATGATGCCGTACGTCTCTGATGCAGCATCGTACGCGGGCGGCGACAAAGGCGAACCGCTGGCCGGCACGCCCGAGGGGGCCGTGCCGCATCCGCACCCAGTGGCGATGCCCATGCCTTACTCGATGTCCTTATACCAACGTCCCTACTTTTACCCCGGGGTGGGCGCTTATGTCTACCCCAACAGCATGCCACACGGTATGCCGCCTGGCATGGGCAGTGGCGTCGCACCCGACACGGGCTATGCGGCGCTACCAGCGGGCTCGATGCCGGCGTCGGGGCAGATCTATCCCACCATGTATAATTCTCACTCGCATGCCAAACCAGTATACCTTGGGCACCCAGGAGGATATACCCCCCACCTGCCGCACTTGCCGGCGTACACTGCCTACGGTTATGCCGAGCCTAGCTCCGCACCCTACTATGGCTACGCACTGAATATGGTGGCACCGGCGCCGATGATGGGCCAATATGCCCCCAATCGCCCCGCATTCGCACAGAATGCGCCGCCCAGCAGCTCGGGATCGACGGAGGCGACGCGCCACCACCGCGCGTCGACGTCGGGGTCAGTGCGCAGTCGCCGCTCGTCGAGCCGGCAGAACAGCAGCGCAATGCACCCATCTTCGATGGGCGAATCGCCCCGGGAGAGTGCAGCTGCGGGCGTCGATGCTGGGGCACCTGCACCTGTCGCGCCGTACACGTCTTCGCCACGCAGCGATGTCCACCGTGAGCGTGCGGAAACAGCGCTGGATACGATGCCAGTCGCATCGCCGGTCGCATCGCCGGTCGCATCGCCGGTCACAATGCCGGCAACGGCACCGATAACGGTGCCGGCTGCGGCCGCCTCCGAGGGCCATGGCCTTGCAGTGTCATCTGCGGCAAGCGGTGTGCCGCTCGCCGGTGCTGATGCCGGTGCTCCGATGTCCAATGGGCCCGTTTCTGAGGACCAGACGCAGGTGAAGCGGTCCAACTTTGTGATGTGGTGTGGCAACGTGCCCTCGGATGCGACGATCGACGAGCTCAAACGGTTCTTTGAACAGATCCCCTCTGATTTTGTCGTACCGCGCGCCGATGCGTCGGTTGCGCCGCCGAGTGCGGATGCCGCCGAGGACGTGCAGGACGTGAGCGCGGGTATCCTGTCCATCTTTATCATGTCGCGCTCCAACTGTGCGTTTGTCAACTATGTGTCGGAGGCGCATCTGGAACGTGCATGTGCCTTTTTCCATGGGAAACCGCTGCGTGCACGTCTGGGATGTCCGCGTCTCGTGTGCCGCCCGCGGCGCTTGGAAGATGCTGAGTACGCGGGCGTTGCAGCCCAGCGCGGGAAGGGTGTGCATACCAGCTGGTATCGCCAACAACGTGAGCAGCAGCGCGAGCAGCGTGTCGCCAACAGCGCAGTCAATACACGTGGGGCCAACGATGCGCGCGACGTTACCAACGATAGCGACTCCCTGTCGTTTGCGTCGACGAACTCGTCGCTGTTGCGCCAACCGCTGTTTGAGCACCGCTACTTTATCCTCAAGTCGCGCAATGCCGAGGCGCTCGTGACGGCGCTGCGCACCAATGTCTGGAGCACGCAGCCGCACAATGAAGCGGTGCTGGACCAGGCGTTCCGCAACTCGGCCGCTGTCACGCTGTTGTTTAGCGAAAATTTCAGTGGCCAGTTCTTTGGGTACGCGACCATGTCGAGCCGGATTGGCGGCGCGATGTCCCACTCGGAGAAGTTCGTGTGTGCGGACAGCGACGAAGTCGAGCAGACCGACGCGGTGGCCGAATCGGCGCCCTCGTGCCATTCTGATGGTGCCAACTGCGAAAGTACGGACGAGGAGGCTCCCATGGTCACCAAGACTAGCTCGATGTCCTCGGCGATGTCCTCGGCCTCGGCTGCTGCCAAGTCGGTCACAGGGGAGCGCCTGAGTTTCGAGGAACTGGCTGCGAGCGCCATGCATCACAATCGCCACCTCGACACTCTGGGCGAAGACGGCTCTGCACATGCGAGACCGGATGCACAGGTCGGCGTGCATAATCGGGGCGCGGCGCCTCCGGCGGAGCCGCCGATGCCCTCTTCTGAGCATGGCTCCGCGACTTCTCCCTCTTACCCTGGTCCCTTGTCGAGCAGTGAACCGGAAAACATACACGATTCCACGTCACAGCTTGGACGGCCCTTTTACATTCGGTGGAAAAACACCAAGCCGCTGCCTTTCCATGAGATCCAGGCGCTGCGCAACCCGTGGCGCGACAACCGCCTCGTGAAGGTGTCGCGCGACGGTACCGAGCTTGAGCCCAATGTTGGTGCACAGCTACTGGAAATCTGGGATGCGTATGCTCAAAAAAACCCTACATAGGAATTGGCGCCCCCGCGTATATACATGCTTGTCGCGCGCCTGCGTCCGCGAGCCTGCGGAGCCGTGCGAGCGCGGGGGAGGGGCTGGCGCACGCGCCACCTCCACAAAACCACGTGACGAACCGAAGACCGCCGAAGCCCGCCGAACGCGCGTGGCCGCTGCAGGCGTGGCGGAAGAAGAAAGCCACGCACGGCTACAAGAAGCTGCGGCCGAAGCATTTGCCACCCGTTCTTCCTACCGAAGTACATTCCCTCGAGTATGTTTGGAGCCCTTTCCCGTGGTATGTACACGGCGCCGTCGTCCGGCAGGCTGCTGTCGCAGTCGCTGCGCACTGGCGCCGTGGCCGGCCTGCCCAAGGCTGGCGTCCGTTTCAACTCTGGCAAGGTGTCCGGCCCTGTGATCGGTATCGACCTGGGTACCACCAACTCGTGTGTCGCGACCATGGAGGGTCAGCAGGCGCGTGTCCTGGAGAACTCCGAGGGTGGTCGCACCACGCCGTCCGTTGTGGCTTTTAGCAAAGACAATGAGCGCCTGGTTGGTCTGCCGGCCAAGCGTCAGGCGGTGGTGAACCCGGAGAACACGCTGTTTGCGACCAAGCGTCTGATCGGCCGCAAGTTCACCGACCCTGAGGTGCAGAAGGACATTGACAACGTCCCGTACAAGATCGTTGCGCACTCGAACGGCGATGCGTGGGTCGAGGCGCGCGGCAAGGCCTACTCGCCCTCGCAGATCGGTGCGTTCGTCGTGGGCAAGCTCAAGGAGACCGCTTCGGGCTACTTGGGCAAGAACGTGAAGCACGCCGTGATTACGGTGCCTGCCTACTTCAACGACTCGCAGCGCCAGGCGACGAAGGACTGCGGTACGATTGCCGGCATGGAGGTGCTGCGTGTGATCAACGAGCCGACCGCTGCGGCGCTTGCCTACGGTCTCGACCGCCAGGACAACGCTACGATCGCCGTGTTCGACCTGGGTGGTGGCACGTTCGATGTGTCGATTCTCGAGATGAGCAAGGGCGTGTTTGAGGTGAAGTCGACCAACGGTGACACGCACCTGGGTGGCGAGGACTTTGACATTGTCGTCGTCGAGCAGCTTGTCCGCGACTTCCAGAAGGAGACGGGCATTGACCTGAGCAAGGACCGCATGGCGATCCAGCGTATCCGTGAGGCCGCCGAGAAGGCCAAGATCGAGCTGTCGAGCACGCAGTCGACCGACGTGTCGCTGCCCTACATCACGGCCGACGCCTCGGGCCCCAAGCACATCAACGTCAAGATTACGCGTGCGCAGCTTGACGGCTGGACGAGCAAGCTCGTGCAGCGCACCATTGACCCGTGCAAGAAGGCGCTGGCTGACGCTGGCGTCAAGGCCAACGACGTCGACGAGGTCATCATGGTCGGTGGTATGACGCGTATGCCCAAGGTGGTCGAAACCGTGAAGGACATCTTCAAGCGCGACCCGTGCAAGGGTGTGAACCCGGATGAGGCGGTTGCCATCGGTGCCGCGATCCAGGGTGGTGTGCTCGCCGGCCACGTCACGGACGTGCTGCTCCTGGATGTTACCCCGCTCTCGCTCGGTATCCAGACGCTCGGCGGTGTGTTCACGCGCCTGA